TCTCAATCACACTGCAGCCCAGTTCTTCTCCCTCCGTGGACTGAGCAACCGTCACGTTTGTTCGCTGACTGTCCCCACCACCAAGATTCTTAGGGGTTATGAAACCAAACGCCTCTAGGGGGCAGTAGGCAACATAAAGAAACAAAGTGGGTCAAAGGGGCCTGTTGGGCCCCTTGAAGGTCCATGCCCTATTTAAGAGAGTCATTTCTGACTTGCCATGTAGGAATGTGGAGTCCCAAGACATCCAAAGACGAACGGACACAAAGAAAGGTATGATTAAGAGGTTTTGGGAAACGGGAGATTTTATGTGAAATCTTTCCATTTCAGAATGTTAAAAACAGCGGCAGGCCAAAAAAACTGTATCTGCAGGCTGGATGCAGCAATTTGGATCCTCAATTTGCAATATACATTTTAGAACAGTGCTTCTCAAAGTGTGGCCTACAGATAAGCACCTGTCCACACACTATTTGTTCCAATCTGTGGCAAGATCGGAAGCCAACGCTGGACGCTGTTGAGTTCAGCTGACATCTTTTTCCACAGGGAGGTTGTTCCTTATAGAAGACACAGGGCATCGATTTACATTCTGGCACAAGCTCCTGATCCCATTGTGGGCGAGATTTGGAGGAGCGCTGCCCCAGAAAAAATCATTCAGGGATCCTTCTCGTGGTACCATCTCAGAGAACTGAGAACCAGTACCTTGGCTCCTTGAAGCCCAGTACTCTGTGAAGGACGGGAAGGGGAAAGGAGAGAGAACTCCAGCAGGATCCAGAAAGCTGCTCACAGGAGGCCCTGGACTAAGTCAGGGCAGTAGGACCTGCCTGGAGTCAGTGGATCTGAGTGTACAATACGGGCAGGCAGGAGGTCAGCCACCCAAAACAATTCCTCTTGTCCTTCTCCCAACCTACCCAACACCGGGACTCTCTCAGGCACCCGAGAGTTGGGTCTCATAGTTGGCCCAGATATACTGCATGTCATGGATGTTCTTTAGTAGAACTTATTCATTTGTTTATTGCTCATTTGCTCATCAGTACCAGCCCATCCCCAGTCCCACCATAAATTACAAGCTCCAGAAACACAGGGTGTCTAGCCCAGGGCCTAGCCCATAGTTAATACTCAGCAAATATCAGATGAATGAATGGTGTTATAGCAAAGTTACATAAGACAGGAGCATGCATCATGCTATTTAGACTAATAAAACATTTTTTTTAAAGAATGCTTCCAGAAGCTGACATGTACCTTTCTCAGGAACTGTTGAGTAAAGCCTGTTTGCATTTCCGTCAAACCAGTCAAAAGAGAAGTTCAATGGTCATGGAATATGGTACGGGATATGCTTGAAAGCCAAGGTCTTTGTAAAAAAGAAAGACTGAAGTTGGTAGATATGAGAATTCAGAATGAGGGATCCCAGACACTGAGCTATTAAGTTATTGATTGATAGTCTTTTAAGAATAGATTCATTTGTCTGTGGAAGTTTAAGAGAGACTCAGCCCAAAGGTGGAAGACCAGGGAATGACCTCAAGTTCTGTGCAAGCCTGTGTGTACGGCTAATGTTAGAGCAGAGAATGGAGCTGTGACCATGAATTTGTTGAATGACTGAGAGGTTGAAATCTCCCTCTTGTTCCCTAAAATTCCTGAAACTAACACTGCTTATCAATCATACCACCTTTCTTACAGGGTCTTGGTCTCCTCTTTTCTCTCATAATTTCAGATCCATTATGTTGGAGTTTTGTAGCCTCTTCTAATATTAAGAAACTCATTATTTTTCCAATCTCCTTAACCTATTTCCTCCTACTCCCAGTACTAGTAGAAGAAGAGGGTCACTCTAAATGCTTTTTGTAAGTCTTCATTCTATGCTCATCATTCAAAAGGTTCTTCTTTTGAAACATATCAATTATTAATATCATCCTTCCCAAAACTTCATCACCATCTTCTACTAGAACCTTTCTCCAACTGCCTCAAAGGCTTTGATGCTTGGCTCAGAATTTTCTAGTTTGCCCTACTCCTGCCTGTAGCCATATTAATTTCAGGGCTATAACAGTCATTATTATATTAATCATTATGATGCCTTCTATTTATTGAGTGCCTACCATGTGTTATCACTATTTTTTTTAATTATTTTATGTTATTTCTGGCCTAGCTGGGTCTTTACTCTGCAGCACTGGGGCTTTCTCTCGTGGCAGAGAGCAGGGGCCACCCTTTGTCACGGCGCGTGGCCTTCTCTTTGCAGTGGCTTCACTCATTGCAGAGCATAGGCTCTGGGTGCATGCATTTCAGTAGTGGCGGCTCACAGGCTCTAGAGCACAGGCTAAATAGCTGTGGTGCATGGGTCTAGTTGCCCCACAGCTTGTGGAATCTTCCCAGACCAGGAATCAAACCCATATCGCTTGCATTGGCAGGCAGATTCTTAACTTCTGACCTACCAGGGAAGTCCTACTATATGGTCTCTAGTCTATCTTACAGATACTAGTTCTAACCTATAACAACCCACAAGGTGGGTTCCATCCTCCATTTACACAAGGATGCACAATTCAGAGAAATTACATACCTTGCCCAAAGTCACAATCAGTAACAGAACCAGAAGGTAAACATAAATATCATTTGTGCCAAAGCTCAAGCTCCTTCCAAGCTTCCCTAATAGTAACAAAGATGGTTATCATTTTCTGAATGGCCACTATGTAACAGCCATTGACTTTATACTAGCTATTTCTAAATCGCACAAAACCTCTGCAGTCTAAATCATTCCCACTTTAAAGTGAGGCTCAGAAATGTTATGTAACCTATTCCAAGTCACACTAGTGGTCAAAGATTTAAATTCAGGTCACTCAAAGTGAAATATCTCAGTTCACTGCCTTGCTAAAACTCTAATCCAGTTTTCTGTCACTGCATATAAACCACCCAGATCTAATGGTTTAAACCAGTAATAATTATATATTTTCCTCTCAGATATACAAGTTGGGCAGGGCTTAGCAGGGAAAGCTCCTCTTTGCTCCATGTGACATCAGCTGGGGTAGTTCAACAAGGTTTGAAGATCTTCTTCCCAATGGTTCACTTTGAGGACTGCCAAGTTGGTGGTGGATTTTGGCTAGTTCTTCAGCCTGGGCTGAGGGCCACAGGCCAGGTTGCCTCTCCATGTGAATCTCTCCACATGGCCTATGCTTCCTCAACACATAGGAGCTGAGTTACAAAGACAATAATCCCATGAGAGAGAGAGATAGAAGTTGTACGCTTTTGATGATCTAGTCCCAGAAGCCACACAGCATCATTTCACTGCATTTTATGTTAGAAGTCAATTGCAAAGTCTGGCTCATGTTTAAGGGGAAGTGAATTAGACAGATAGGGAGGAATATCAAATAATCTATAGAAATGTTAAAACCTACCACACACACTTCTCCCACAATTTCTCACTGATTTCATCTCCACTCTGCTAAACTACCCATGAAAATAAAAACACTTTAGCTTACTCGGTATCACTGAAGACAATGTCAAACACAAGTTTGCCTCTGGCTCCCACCTTCTTTAACTGCTTCCTGCGCTCACCTCTCTCACTACCTTGCTCCTGAACTTGACCTTCTCCATCAAACACTTTAATCCCTTCCTCCATATTTTCGAGTCCTTCATCTGTTTCGGTTCCATGGTCATGAATTTCACTGTTGCCTTTTCTAGCACCTTCACACTCTGTTCATTATCTATTCCTTTTTTATCACTTGTAGTCTGTCTTCTGCACAATTCCTCTCAAATTATTTACTCAGAAATTACCAGTTACCTCCTAATCATTACCTAGTCTCATTTCTCACTCTCATTCCTATGTGATTAGATACAGTTGCCTATTCTGACTTCCTTCAAATTTCTTCCTCTTTTTTATATCCTGGGATATGTTTTTTCATATCTCTGTTCACTTTACCTTAAGACAGTGGCCTGAAGCAAACCAATAGGAAGGCTGGTCCTAAAAGAAGAACAGAGTGTAAGCAAGTGTTGAATGATAGCACAGCAAAGCAGGTTGCCATATATATAGACCAATAATTATGGTATTCTCTCTCTTTTTTTTTTTTTAAGAGCATTAATGGCTAACTTGGTCACTTTATTTTTTTTTCCATTTATTTTTATTAGTTGGAGGCTAATTACTTTACATCATTACAGTAGTTTTTGTCATACAGTGAAATGAATTATCCATGGATTTACATGTATTCCCCATCCCGGTCCCCCCTCCCACCTCCCTCTCCACCCGATCCCTCTGGGTCTTCCCAGTGCACCAGGCCCGAGCACTTGTCTCATGGTATTCTCACAAGGAGCAACGGATTATGGTGAGAAACCTTGCAATGGCCAACATTTCTATGCCTGCACACAAGAATCTGCCATAACCCCTGGGACTGGGATTCACAGGAAAGCACTGTTTCTTAGGAAAAATGCACACTAGTTCTGAACTTTTCTCCGCCATGGAACGTTTAGAGCATATGATGAAAGCTCTAGATCCTATGTTTTATTCCAAAAACACAAATGTTTGAATATGGGGGCTAACATACATCATATTAGACTTACTGAATTTGAGGTGTCCACAGGATTCCAAACAGAGTTTGCTAGAAAATAGTTGAACATACAGCCATGATGCTCAGAAGAGAAATTTAAAATGAACTAGAGACTGGGGAGGCAATAGTTATAGGATAGTGAATACCACTAGACGGACGTTATAGCCTCAACAGTATAAGTATAGTAGATTTCCATGTATGTTAAGGGTAGATTCTTGAGAAACCCTGGAAAGTCAAGGGGAAAGTAAAGTACATAAAGAGACTGAAGAGCCAGTGGGTTGGGAGGAAAACCTGCATGTAGATGTCAAAGAATTTCAAGAGGAAAAGGGTTTGTGACATTCAACAAATATTCATTAATCGCTTTTGTATTACGGATTGAGGATACAGAAGTTGAAACTGGGAGCAAAATTGTCGCCACCACGTCGCCTGCCGCGCCCGTGAGCCTCCAGCCTCTCCCCAGGCTCCAGGCTGACTGTCCATCCTCTTGAGTCCCATACCAACAGAGGACAGATTAAGTTCAATGTGTGGGATACGGCTGGTCAGGAGAAGTTTGTGGACTGAGAGATGGCTGTTGCATACAAGCTCCGTGTGCCAATGTGATGTTTGACGTAACATCGAGAGTTACTTACAAGAATGTGCCTAACTGGCATAGAGATCTGGTACGAGTGTGTGAGAACATCCCTATTGTGTTGTGTGGCAACAAAGTGGATATTAAGGACAGAAAGGTTAAGGCCAAGTCAGTTGCCTTCCACCGAAAGAAGAATCTCCAGTACTATGACATTTATGCCAAAAGTAACTATAACTTTGAAAAGCCCTTCCTCTGGCTTTCTAGAAAACTGATAGGAGACCCTAACTTGGAGTTTGTCGCCATGCCTGCTCTTGCCCTGCCAGAGGTGGTCATGGACCCAGCCTTGGCAGCACAGCTTGAGCACGATTTAGAGGTTGCTCAGACAGCTGCTCTCCCAGATGAAGAAGATAACCTGTGAGGAAGTAAGGCTGGGGCCCAGCATCAGAAGTCTAGTTTTATAGGCAACTGTCCTGTGATGTCAGTGGTGCAGTGTGTTTGCCACTTTATTATATAGCTAAGCAGAACATGTGCTTAATCTTTGGATGCTGAAGGAAATAGAGCTTTGGAGTGAATGTGGAAGTTAAAAAAAAAAAATTCAGTTTTTGGACCTGCATATTTAGGTGTTTTGGAACACAGTTGTTTACTCCTTGACTTTCAAATATAAGACTGCTGTAGTCGCATGACAATATGAGAGGTGCAATCTTGTTTGTTACTGTCATTCCCATTCCTTTCCGTTTAGAATCAGAGTAAAGTTGTATTTCAAATATCTAACAAAAAAAAAAAAGCAAAAGAATGACCTATGGGGTGAAGAGACATTTAATTAGTCATTATGAGTATGATGAGTTAAATCAAAAATCTCTTCAGAAAGAGAAGTTGTTCTCTGCTCTCCTAGGCAGTTGGTCTGAAGTCATTTTATTGACTCAGGCACACACTTTTTCAGTCCCAATGTGTTCAGCCTAATAACAGTCTACCACTTGTACTTATGGGCTCCCTAGTCACTCAGTCCCTTGGACTGCAAGGAGAGCCAACCAATAAATCCTAAAGGAAAACAGTCCTGAATATTAATTGTAAGGGCTGAAGCTGAAACTCCAATATTTTGGCAACCTGATGCAAAGAAACTGACTCATTGGAAAAGACCCTGATGCTGGGAAAGATTGAGGGCAGCAGAAGACAATGAGAGAGGAGAAGATGGTCGGATGGCATCACCAACTCAATGGACATGAGTTTGAGCAAACTCTGGGAGTTTGTGATGGACAGGGAGACCTGAAGTGCTGTAGTCCATGGGGTTGCAAAGAGTCAGACGTGACTGAGCGACTGAACTGAACTGAGTGGCTCAGTGGTAAAGAATCCATCTACCAATGCATGAGACTCATGTTCAATCCTTGGGTTGGGAAGGTCCCCGGAGAAGGAAATGGCAACCCTCCCCCCCCCCAGTATTCTTGCTTGGAAAATCCCATGGACAGAGGAGTCTGGTGGGCAATGTCCATGGAGTCACAAAAGAGTTGGACACGACTTAGTGACTAAAGAACAGCGACGACGACCTGCACTTACACTTCACTCCTGCCGCTGCAACATATGCCCTGAGCAGCTGATTTCTGCTCCTCTCAGCTGTCTTCTGCTGTGCTATACTGGACAAGGGCCCAAGGCTAGTTTAAATCCAAGTGCCACCACACTACGCATTAAAGAGCTACACACACACTAATGCATGCTAAGTTGCTTCGACTGAAGCAACACTTGTCCAACTCTTTGCAACCCTATGGAGCTTAGCCAGCCAGTCTCTTCTGCCCATGGCATTCTCCAGGCAAGAACACTGGAGTAGGTTGGCATGCTCTCCTCCAGGGGATCTTTCTGACCCAGGGATTGAACCCATGTCTCCTACATCTCTTGCATTGGTAGGCAGGTTCTTTACCACTAGCCCCACTTGGGAAGCCCCAAGAAGCTACATAACTCCAGTCAAGTAGCTTACCACTATGAACCTCAGTTTTCTCTTCTGTAAAATGAAGGTGATGCTGATGTGCGCGCTTGTGCTCAGTCTTGTCTGACTCTTTAATGCTGCCTCCCTTCTATTTTGGGGGCATTAAATCACAAAACATTTGTAAAGCAACACAGTGCTTGACTTAATGCTAGTTAAATATCAAAAGCAAAAGGAAAAGAAGACTAATGATTAGGACCAATCAGCCTCCCTTGTTTTAGAAAGGAAGCTTTAGAAAGACCAGCCCTCACCCCATAACACTATTTAGCAGAATAATGGGAAACTGTGTATTTCAGAATACTTGTAAACACCTTCCTCCTCTCTCAAATACAGCAGAGAGGTCAAATAACAGAAGCCTGTGAAGTGTCTATACACTGGGAAGGAACACCTTGGGTGAGTTTCAAAAACCATTTCAATTGATTAGAGAAGCAAAAGTCAGCTATCACTAGGTTGCAGAGTGAATGGGAAGTGAGAAAGTGAAAATGCTATCAAGCTGCCTTTCAGGAAGTGTGGGTCTAGCAGGAAGGAGAGCGAGGCACTATTTAATTATAATTAGCTTGTGCTCCTCTACAGTCACCTGAATTTGCCCTGAATAGAGCTGAATGGGTCTTCTTGGCCTTATTTGAAGGAACCTCATTTATTTTCTCTCAGATATAGAATGCGTTAAAGTTGTTTTAAATATTCATCCTGTTCTAATCACCAGCTTTCTCTCTTTCCTGCCAATTTGATGACATTTATGTATTGGGAGGAGTGGCAAAATCTCTTTCTGGGGGTGTTTAAGAAATGGAGAGACATGATTCTTGAAAGGATGCAACTTTGGTTTAAACTAGATGACCTCTGAAGTTCCTTTCTCAATAGCAGAAGTTAATGCTTTCTGAGCTCCTCTATCTAAAATCAGTTATCAGTGGCCATATCCATCTCTCCACTGAGAAAGGACCCATCTATTCCTGCATACACCCCCTATCTGATAGCATATGTATACTCTGACTCTAGACACTTAGGGAGGCTGCTGATCGCTTTCAACTGTATGGCCCCATTTAGACTCTGCTTTCACTGCCAAAAAAGTTAAGAGGACCATATTCACATAGCACTTTTCTCATTAAAGCCAAACATGAGCTTGAACACCCCCCCCCCCCCCCCCCCCCCACACATCTTTAGCACTCAAACCAATAATGGCCTCATTTAATTCCAGCACGGAACAATGTCTTTCACTTAAAATTAATGTCTTGTCCACATAAAATTGAAATACAGAATGCAGCCTTCCTGATGATAAGTAGAAAGCATAAAGGTGACTTTTAAGGAGATAAATTTATTCTGTCAGGGAAGGAATAAAAACCTATTCTATTCACCTGTGACTCGAACACTCCTAAGCAATGAGTTCTTCCCTTATTTGTAGCTAAATATGATGTGTCACTCAGCCTTCCCTTGCTGTCATGTGTTAAATTAAAATACATCATTAATATATACATCGTTTCTGATCCTCCCATGGTTAATGGCTCCATACTGAAGGACTAGGCCGTGTGTTGGCATCCCATAGGCATGCACACAGAATAATATATACACAAATGGATGGGTAGTAGGGAACATGGCACTTTAAATTATTTAAAATACCGTAATTGCATCGCCTCCATTTACAGAGAATATCAAGTGAGGCAGTACAAATTGTTTTGAGTTAATGGAATAATAAAGAATTATGATGATCCAATAGAGATTTCTCAAAATAAAATTATATAGAAATATTTCTGCTGTTAAATATGGCAGTCCAGATTTTGAAATAGTATATTGGATAACTGAACAGAGAAAGGGTATTTTATTCAATGAGTCAAAATCCAAAGTTTGCATTCAACCTCCTGTTATCTAATTTCTAGATGTGACATGAGATAAATAAATTACATTGGCCATTCTCTTGAAGAAATCTTACTCAGGCTGTGTTTTAATGTAGATGCAACTAGCATTTGGTCTAAATATTAAGTATTTAACAAATCGTCCGGGTGTGTTTTAGCATCACTGTCATCACCATCAACCCATTTTGCAGATAATGAAGATAATCAAAATTTGTTCAATGACAGGCATGCATTTTAATTCATTTAACACAATGATTCTATGAGGTAGATACAACCATTACCACCATTTCCATTGTTAGCAACACTCCCCAAGTAGAGAAACTAAGCAACAGAACATTCTGACTTTGAGCCAAGTCACCAATGAATAAAGAATGCCGTCTATCCTGCCACTCAGAAAGAACAATGAGGCTCAGAGCAGTTATCTCAATCAAGGTCACATAGCCTAAAAGAAGTGAAACTGAAATTCAAACCTCTCTTTTTTTAACTTTACTATTTATTATGGGGTTTTTCAAATAGGTACTCAACTAGAGAAAATGGTACTATGAACTCCAAACAAGACTTTTAGTCCAAAGCCTAAAGTCCTTCCTCTAGAACATGATTCATCTATGATGGACATATTTATCACAATTTTTAATGGAAAGAGTTTCAGTGTTATTTTTAAGAAGTAATACATGTTCATTATAAAACCATTTATTCAGAAGAGAAAAATTTGCCTCTTATTAATAGCTTGTTCAAATCCTTCCTGACTTTCTGTATACTTATCTGTCCATGTACAGTAGTAGTAGTGTTAGTCAGTCATGTCTGACTGAGACCCCATGGACTGTAGCCCCAGGCTCCTCTATCCATAGGGATTCTCCAGGCAAGAATACTGGAATGGGTTGCCATTTTCTTCTCCAGGGGATCTTCCCGACCCAGGGATAGAACCACGGCCTCATGCATTGCAGGCAGATTCTTTACTATATGAGCTACAGGGAAGTCCCTGTATGTGCATGTATTAGAGATATAATTATTCTTTACAAAATGGAATCATACCATATACACTTTTAAAACTTGCTGATTTTTGCTTTTAAATGCACCATGGACATATTTCCATTACAATGAACATTATTGATCTATAGCTTCATTCTTAATGGTTACAATCATATCAATGAACTATCATTTACTTAACCAATCCCTTATTGATGAACACTTATATTTTATTAATGCTTTGTTACTATAAAACATTGAGGCAGCTCTCCTATCTTACAGGTCTTTATATGTTTGTAAAATTAATTCTTAGAAGTTCCTGCAACGTAATAGGTGCTCAAAAAATATGAGGAATTAACGGATGAAGGAAAAGTTTGATCAAAGAAATGGAAAATTTTATATTTTGATATGTATTGCTAAATTGCCCACCAGAGAAGTAATTAATCTATTTTCTGATTTTTCATCTTATTTTTTAACTTGCTTTACAGTCTAAATATTTTAGAAAGTTTCCAGTATTTTACTTTGTGGTCCCGTCTTTGAAACAGTGATCTACAGGATTAAGACCTCAGTGATCAATCATAAAATGTAGTCATTATTTAAAAATTACATAAACTTACAATTAAATTATATTTAAAACAAAATCAATAAATACTAGTTACTTTACTAAACGTTCTTATTATCTGTACTTTCAAAATTAGTTATGACTACAATATGCAGATAGTGGATATAGTAGTGTGCTATTCCACATCTTTTCCCAACTCCACATTCAGTGACACCATTGGTAGCTTAAAATTGGTCGTGAAGGGAGTATTTACACCACAGAAATCAGCTAGTGCTACAAACCAGGGTTTGATTTAGTTCTGAAACTGAGTTCTTAGTTAATTAATGAGAAGGGGATGAAAAGAAGCTTAACAGATTTAATACACATATCAGATTTAATAACAATATATTTATTGGGAAAAGAGTTAGCAGACTGAGATGCAACTCCATGTGTCAAAAATCATGGCTGAATATTGACTGTAAGTTCAAAGTTAGAAATAAATCAAAAAAAGCATTCTGAAAAATTACATTACAAAACTTGATTACGTTAATAACATTTATTGACAATAAAGAGTATTGTGTATTTTTATTTTTAAATTGTATGCTAGGTATCATCTATTTTAGTAAAAAATGCATAATATTTATGTACATATATATATTTGCATATAGTTTTTTTCAGGGACCTGGTTGTAAAGCATTTAATGGCACATTACTGTTTAGGTTTTATATTTTGAGGAACATTCTCTTTATAGAAATTGAAATACCTGTTTTGTATTCTAAGTTTCTATGTGCAGTTGGCTATTTCTGAAATTTGTGTTGTTTCATTGACCTTTTTGTGTTATATCCTTAGTACCATAACGATTGAATTATCATAGTTTTAAAACACATTTAATATCTAGAAGGGCAAACAGCACTCCTCTTCTCCCACACCACCCAGCTAATTCCAGATAAACTTAAAATAATTTTTCAAACCCCCACCCAATAGTATTCCAGAGGTACAGCCTCCTTTCATTCAGCTCTTATATTCATTATTAGAATCTTATCATTTTTTTCATGTTTGCCCTATACATTTTTAGTCTTCATAACTCTATGTATGTATGTTATATTATTGTTTTTATGTACTTTCTATATGGGATTATTTTATATCTCTTTAAAAAATAATATTTACCACAGATATTTTACCACCACTTAGAATTATCCCCAAACTCTTCCACCAGAAACCAAGCTAAAGACAACAATTGCAAACCATTTCCAACAAAACTGATGGCTACATCATTTTGTTCAATATCGCAAAAGACTAAGAAGGCTCTGGGAAATGACACAGACTGAAGGAGACTAAAGAGACATGACAATTAAAGGCAGTGTGGGATCTTGGATTGAATCCTAGAATAGAAAACAGACATTAATGAAAAAATTGGAGAAATCTAAATAAAGTCTGCAGTTTAGTTAATTAAAAAGTATGATTGATGGGTAAAAGTTTTAATAGGATAGTTTGTAAGATAAAGATTCTGGAGCCATTAATGAAATTATTTTTTTGGAAAGGAGGTCAACTCTACTTTTTAAATGTGAATGTGCATAATTAAATCATTTTAAGATGACATAGTTTTTGAGTAATTTATTCCATATTTTGATTTCTTCAATATGGCTAATTATAAAACCACTGTAAGTTCATGTTATTATCTTAATAATATTTTTTACAACATTTTATTTCTTCCACAAGTATACAATTATTTGCCAAATGTGGGAATGTGGGAGTGTGAAGATATTATGAGAATATGAGTTAGACAAGCAAACAAAAAACTATAGGTTACCATGAAAAACAAATGCTATACACTTCTGTGCTAAAGGACATTAAAAAAAAAAGATCCTTTAATTTTATCTCAAGTTAATATTTGTTATATAAATTGTAACATAATCTCCATGATGAGCCTTTGTTTTAGAAAGAATTTTTCATAAGTTACTGAAAATGTTTTAAGAGAGGTGTGTAAGTTTAAATTCTGCATCCAGCTTCACTAAAAATGTCCCCTGAAAGTGGAAGTATTAGCTCAGTCGTGTCTAACTCTTTACGACTCCATGGACTCTCACCTGCCAGGCTCCTTGTCCATGGAATTCTCCAGGCAAGGATACTGGAGTGGGTAGCCACTCCCTTCTCCAGGGAATCTTCCCGACCCAGGGATCGAACCCAAGTCATCTGCATTGCAGGAGACCTTTCCTGTCCAAGCCAAATGGTCTCCTGTGACACTATCACTTTATAAGTGTACAGATTGGAGTGGTCCTATTCCCCAGTCAGTTGCCAGCCTCAATCCTCTAGGCTATACTTTGATTAGCCCCATTCCTCTTATTTGCTCCTAGGTAGTAATGGGATCCAAGAGGTTGCCAGATAATAAGTTTTAGCACAGTTGATGGTAAGTAACAGGCACAAAATCTGTCTTTCCTTCTTTCAGGTAACCAAATACAAAACAGGACTTGGCCTAGGTATTCTGTGATCTCCACATGGTTTGGTAGACATATGACAAGATCTAGCTCTTTGTGTGGGAATTAAGTGCTTTCTGGAGTCAAACACTGTGAAAACACAGGAAGCTGATTCACCAGCCTGCTCACCCCTCCCCGTTTCCTGTCCACTCAGGCCCAGAGCCTCCACGGCCACACCGTCCACCTGCATTTCCCGGTCAGCCTCACGTTGCTGCTGCCCCTCTTCTGTATGATATAGCTCACTCTCAAATGAGATTCTCCAGCGGGCAGCCTGGATCCTGAATTGACTCCTTGTATAAGCAAAGGAACTAGATTTCCTTCAAACACTTAAAGAAAACACACAGAGCTTATCACGGCATGTTTAAACATGGCAGTGTCTTTCTGCTCTGCTCTTTCCTCTGTCTCTGCATCTTCTCATCGTCTCTCTGTGACTATTTATCCTCCCGTCTGTCTGCCTTTTTCTTGGTATCAGACCCTCTCCATCTGTGCCTTCTCTCCTCTATAACCTTCATGGTCCTTCATCTCAGTTTACTGTTAGTGTTTACGATATTGAACCAACATTCACTCTAAGAATAGGGTTTTCCTTGGTTAAGGAGAATAGTAGCCCATTTGGTACAGAATCCACTGGCCAATGCAGGAGACACGGGTCCAATCCCTGAGTCAGGAGAAGTAAATGGCAACTCACTCCAATACTCTTGCCTGGGAAATCCCATGGACAGAGGAGCCTGGTGGTCTATGGGTTCGCAAAAGAGTCAGACACGACTTAGCGACTGAACAACAACAACTAAACACTCATTTCCAAAAAAAAAGATACCATAGTATCTGAAATTGTTCATGGTTTATATAGCCCTGAATCACAATTTATTAGCCCCACTCCTGTAACATTTGGGAAGGGGAGTCAGGAAGATAGCCTGTCTGAGAGACATCTCGGAAAGCATCTCCTCTCACATGAGGCCCATCATATCCCTCTCCTTTCCAGGGCCAGGCAGCTGGGTATGAGCTCTGCCAGACGACAGGCAAGAAATTGTTCTCCACAAACCTCTTTGATTCAGCACACACCAACAGAGCCTCCCTCAGGGCTAGAGAATCAGGCTGAAAGGCTCGTAATGTGTGTATCCTGTGATTCCTTCAGGATCTGAACAGAAGCTAAAGAGCCCTGATGCAGGAACTTAACTTGAAGGTAGGCTGTGCTTAAGCAGCGGAGAGCAGACGTCAGCAATGCCGTGTGAATTAATGAAGGCAAAGGAGCCTGGGAACTGCGTTTATTGTGTGGGAAGGTGATGACAGAGTAAATCTTCCAAATTTAAGTATATTTTATGTTAATTGCCTAAAGTAGCATAGATTTGCTGTTTAAATCTCATCCATGGGAAACTAGAATTGGGCTTGTTGATTTCTTGTATTATCCACTAAAATCACTGGAGTCCTTGTTTGTATTTACTTGAGAAGCACAGATCTATTTCTAAATAGCTTTACAACATTAACTGTTTTAAGAAACTTCTTTTTAATACCATCCAGTTAATTGTACCATGATAGCTCCTAAGTGGAACATTATATCTATCAGTCTTAAGTGCCACTGGGGATATAATAGCTTGGGTCATATTATTACAATCTCTTTTATTTAGAGCACTTAGGAAGCTAAAAATTAAATATGCTTCAACCTGGTATCATTCTGACTATTACTTACCTTAATGCTAAGTAAATACTAAAGAAACTATCACCTCTGGTAAAATTAAATTCTGAATTCTTTGATGATGGAATATAGGTTCGATCAATGTAGATACAAATCTTTCCTTGTTTTCCCTCTCTCTACTCAGTTAAAAATGGTTTCTCTGTAATAGCGAGCTTCTATGTGCACTGATTTTTGAACACTCAGAACACTTAGTAGGGACAGAACAGGAATATAGAAAAAGGGAAATGGTGACATCACCTCCATGTGTGGGAGACACTGCACTTGTACTAAGTCACATCAGTCGTTTCTGGCTCTTTGCGACCCTATGGGCTGCAGTCCACCACGCTCCTCTGTCTGTGGGATTCTCCAGGCAAGAACACTGGAGTGGGTTGCTGCCATGCCCTCCTCCAGGGGATGTTCCCAATCCAGAGATCGAACCCACGTCTCTAATGTCTCCTGCATTGGCAGGCAGGTTCTTTACCATTAGCACCACCTGCTTTATTGACTAGGCCAAAGCCTTTGACTGTGTGGATCACAACAAACTGTGGAAAATTTTTCAAGAGATGGGAATACCAGACCACCTAACCTGCCTCCTGAGACATCTGTATGCAGGTCAAGAAGCAACAGTTAGAACTGGACATGGAACATCAGACTGGTTCCAAATCGGGAAAGGAGTACGTCAAGGCTGTATATTGTCACCCTGCTTATTTAACTTATATGCAGAGTACATCATGAGAAACATTGGGCTGGATGAAGCACTAGCTGGAATCAAGATTGCCAGGAGAAATATCAATAACCTCAGATATGCAGATGACACCACCCTTATAGCAGAAAGGGAAGAAGAGCCTCTTGATGAAAGTGAAAGACGAGAGTGAAAAAGATGGCTTAAAACTCAACATTCAGAAAACTAAGATCATGGCATCTGGTCCCATCTCTTCATGGCAAATAAATAGGGAAACAGTGAGAGACTTTATTTTGGGGAGCTCCAAAATCACTGCAGATGGTGACTACAGCCATGAAATTAAAAGATGCTTGCTCCTGGGAAGAAAGGCTAGGAAAAACCTAGACAGAATATTAAAAAACAGAGACATCACTTTGCCAACAAAGGCCCACCTAGTCAAAGCTATGGTTTTTCCAGTAGACATGTATGGATGTGAGAGTTGGACTATAAAAAATGCTGAACGCCAAATAATTGATGTTTTTGAACTGTGGTGTTGGAGAAGACTCTTGAGAGTCCCTTGGACTGCAAGGAGATCCAACCAGTCCATCCTAAAGGAAATCAGTCCTGATTATTCATTGGAAGGACTTATGCTGAAGCTGAAACTCCAATACTTTGGCCACCTGATGCGAAGAAATGACTGATTGGAAAAGACCCTGATGCTGGGAGGGGTTGAAGGTGGGAGTAGAAGGGGACGACAGAGGATGAGATGGTTGGATGGCATCACCGACTGGATGGACATAAGTTTGAGTAAACTCTGGGAGCTCGTGACAGACAGGGAGGCCTGGCGTGCTGCAGTGCATGGGGTCGCAGAGTCGGACACGACTGAGCGGCTGGACTGACCTGAGAGTGCCCCCTGGAAAGCCCTACAATGTGGGAGACACTGCTGCTGCTGCTCTCGCTGCAGTCGAGTCCGACTCTGCGACCCCGCAGACGGCAGCCCACCAGACTCCTCCACCTCTGGGATTCTCCGGGCAAGAACACTGGAGTGGGTTGCCATTTCCTTCTCCAATGCATGGAAGTGAAGTCGCTCAGTCATGTCCGACTCTTTGCGACCCCATGGACTGCAGCCCACCAGGCTCCTGTCCCTGAGACTCCTTTGTCCATGGGATTTTCCAGGCAAGAGTACTAGAGTGGGTTGCCATTGCTGCTAAGTCACGTCAGTCGTGTCCGACTCTGTGTGACCCCACAGACGGCAGCCCACCAGGCTCCTGTCCCTGGGATTCTCCAGGCAAGAACACTGGAGTGGGTTACCATTTCCTTCTCCAGTGCATGAAAGTGAAAAGTGGAAGTGAAGTCGCTCAGTCGTGTCCGACTCTTCGCCACCCCATGGACTGTAGCCTCCAGGCTCCTCCGTCCATGGGATTTCCCAGGCAAGAGTGCTGGAGTGGGGTGCCATTACTCAATGCTAAATCCTATATGCCCTCAATGTATCAAGCCCAGAAATAGCCAGGTGACAAGAGAGAGACTAAGCCACGAAAGTGAACCTGAAGCTAGATACTCCCAAAGTGGACCATGCAGTGCCCCTCTAGATGTCTTTTATGAACTAGCAGCTCTTATACCACCTAGGAGTATTTTAGAAATGCAAAAGCTCAAGCCCCACCCCAGGCTGATCTAATAAAATCTGCACGTTAACAAGACCCTCAGAGAATTCCTATGCACTTTCAAGTCGAAGAAGCCCTGTCTGTACTTCGCCCAGAGCCTCCACTGGGAAGATGGAAAATCCGCCTTGGTTAACCTCAGGAATTGGAATACTCTAGTCTTTCCCCTTAGCAGAGGATGGTACTATAGAGATAATGGAAAGTAAAAGACTGTGAAGTGAAAGTGAAACTTGCTCAGTCGTGTCTGACTCTTTGCAACCCCATGGACTGTACAGTCTATGGAATTTTGCAGGCCAGTCTACTGGAGTGGGTAGCCTTTCCCTTCTCCAGGGGATCTTCCCAAACCAGGGATTGAACCCAGGTCTCCGGCATTGCAGGTGGATTCTTTACCAGCTGAGCCACAAGGGAAGCCCAAGAATACTGGAGTGTGTAGCCCATTCCTTCTCCAGGATATCTTCCTGATCCAGGAATCTTTACCAACTGAGCTATCAGGGAAGCCTTTAAAAATTCAAATCAACCACTGAGATCTGGCTGTAGGAGAGGCAGAGACAGGGAAGAGAGTGTCACACACTTCATTGCAAACAACTGTTGAAACAAGAAACTCTTGTTGGAAATATTTTACCCTCTTCTCTTGTGATGTTATTGGATTTGATTTCCTTTCTTCTAAAGAAGGACACATTAGGGGGAAAAAATGACCTAAATTCAGTATTCCATCCAGATGCTTTCAATTTGGCAGGCGGGAAGCAAGTTTTGCATAAGACTGAGCTCACTGAAAGGAATTAGAATTTTGAGCTGGAAATTCCAAAGGCATTTTAAAGTCAAGAAACTATTTAGGAAAAAATAAATACAAGTGACCTTGATGACATTCTGCAATGACAGTCACATCTCAGAGACATCTCTGAGGTTCTCCTGGGTACATTTGTAACCAGTCTTCCTGGCGCTGAGTTCAAAACAGCAGACTTTAGGCAAATGACAAAAGGGGGAGGTGTCGTGGGATCTCCTTTAAGTGAGGAGCCAGTCAGAGAAGCCCATGCAGTGCAGGGGGAGTCATAGCACAAGTGATGGGCCAGCACCGCAGAGGCCGCCCGCGCCCAGCCCAGGGCGGCTCAGAATAGGGTCGTCTCTGCCGTCAATGCAGTCCTGGGCTTCCCGCTCAGGAAACCCATCCGGGGGGGGACCGGCAACTCGACCTTCCTTTCTTAAAGGTAATTTTCAGGATCAGGCTGACTCTGGTCTCAAAATAAATCTGAGATTTTTGACATCCCTTGACCATATGGTGTATCTATTACATAAGCTGTTTTGCAGTTTCCTTTTTCCTTAGCCAATTGTGTTTCCCTTATGTTTTTGCTACTTTATTCCCCCAATGTTAGATATTCTAGACATCAGTAGCTACTAATGACAAACACTGTTTAAATGCTTTTTTTTTTCATTTAATTTTTAATAATTTACTGATTTAGGATTAAATGCATCTTTCAGTATTTTTGAATCAGAATCTTATTTAGTAGTCAGTGCTAAGGGCTTCTCAGGTTGCTCAGTGGGTAAAGAATCTTCCTGCAATGCAGGAGTCACAGGAAGATGGGGGTTTAACCCCCAGGTCAGGAAGATCCCCTGGAGAAGGTAATGGCAACCAACTTCAGTATTTTTGCTTGGGAAATCCCATGGAGCCGGGAGGGCTACCGTCCATGGGGTCACAAAGACTCCAACTGACGGAAGCAACTGGGCGTGCACGCACACACACACACACACACACACACAAAGTACTAATAAACCGGATGGCATTTTTATTTATATTTTTACTAAGATAACATAAAAGCAATGTTGGCATTTTATGAAAAGATAAATTTGAACTACTGCATATCTAGATTATATAAAAAGTATACCTGCAGCCAATTCAAGTAGAGGATTCAAATTTAGAGTTGATTCAGAAAATATTTTAGTTTATTTAATGAGTATTCCATCTCAAACAGGAGTATACAAAACTAACGAATTCAAAATTGGATCAAAATGATGACTAACTATAGAAAAACAGCTAGGCATGGTACATTAGTTTCCTAGGCTTCCACTGCAAAGCACCGTAAACCAGGTAGCTTTGAACAACAGAAACTGGCTCTAAGTCCAGGGTCAGGGTTTCGGCAGGCCGTGCTCCCTCCAAGCCACCTGGGGAGGACCCTTCCTTGCCTTTCGGCTTCTGATGGCCCCGGGGGTCCCCTGACCTTGAGGCAGCATCACTCTACCCTCCGCCTCCTCACGACCACCCTCCCTCTGGGTGTCTGCCTTCCACCTTCTGATGAGGACATCAGTCATGTTGGATCAGGGCCCACCCTCATGGCCTGATTGTAACTCCATTATGCCTGCAAAGGCTCTATGTCCAAATAGGGCCATGTTCACAGATACCAGAGGCTAGGTATTCAGCATCTTTTTGGAGTGTATACAATTCAACCCCTAACACGTATCTAGCATTATCTAGCATTAGTAACAGAATATAACCTGTAACTTTACCAAAATGACAGTGTTATTCTCTCTCTGATCCAGAGATTATAATTTCTTTTTAGTTGCCTCCTTCACAAAACAAAGGAAGCTAGAGATCAAGCAACAGTTACTAATGTAATGTGCCCAACAAGTATTTGATAAAGGTTCTCTTGGAACAGAGCAGAGGGCATCTAAGGCATGTCAA